TTTGTGAACTATAATGAACATAACAGTCTGAGGAATAGGGTAGTCCTAGAGATGTGGATGTGGAGTACAGTCTGACAACCCCCAGAAGGGGGGTGGGGGGGAGATAAACCACAGAACTTATATACATGTGTGCATGAATAATGGACATGGACAACAAAGCTGGGGACAGGGCAGGGAGGGAGTGGAAAGGGGAATCAGTAGGGGAAAAAGGAGAAACATTTGTAACAAAAATAAATTAATTTTTTAAAAGTGCAAGTACAAAGAGTGTGTACGTAGTATGCTATCTTTTGTGTAAAGAAAAGGAAAAATGGATATGCTTGTTTTTCAGAAAGGATAGGCCAGAAAATAATGGGAAAAAATTTTTTTTTAATGTAGGGATGCATCTAGAGATGGGAGGGGCTTTTTTCTAAGTGTATTTTACTACTGTTTTTATTTTTTAAACAATCTCAATGTTTTACATATTCCAAAAGAGATTGAAAAAGCTAATCTTAAATATGAAAAAGAATTTAGTTATATATGAAATGACAATATAGTCACATAAAATATAATTAAAGTAAATTTTGAATGCAGTGTTTGTCTGTATACCCACAGTGGGGTATATCGTGAAGACATCTTGAACTTTACTTAGTAGGTTTATTGTTGGTAGTGGACTCAGTATAATAATTGTGAAGCTGTTTCGTGTGTATTGTGAGGTAAAGAAAATTAGTAAAGAAATCGATATTGTCAGGAATCAAGGTTATCATCTTGGCAGAAATAATGCTAGAACCCTGGACTCTCAGTGCACAAAGCCAACACCCACTTTCCCAGTACCATGTTCTTGAAAGAATGTTAAAAATTATAATCTTGTGATTACTATTTTTTTTTATTTCATGTCATCATCCCTAATGTCAGTCCTTTTATCCTGAATCATCACAAAATGGTTTGCCTGGATTAAGCTCTAAACAAACTTAGGTGTGTGATATGTTGGACAAGTAAAATGCAGCTTTGTTCCCACATTCAAACCTATGATTGAACCACATCAAGATATTATGATGGATTATTTTATTTCCCAGTGTTGCCAACTTTAAACATCAATTTGTTTAATCTTTCATGTGGTCATAAGAATCTCTGATAATGCAAAAGATAGAATCTCCCTAATGCATAGCCCTACCTGTCAAGGAGTTATCATTGAGCTTTGCTTTTTATAGTCTATGGCATGAACATAGTGGGGTTTTTTTTTTTAAACATAAAATGAAAATATTGACTATCCTTTGTCAAATAATACACCTGTCCCTCTCTCTCCCCCTCCTCTACCACAATATTGTTTCAACACCTGTCCTTTCTTCCCCCTTATGGAGAAGCCCCATCCTAGTTATTCTGTTCCCCATTCCCATGTTTCAAAGCCTGTGTCCTTGATCCCACACCAATCATTGTGCTTCTTGTTCTGAGGCTGTAGAATCCGGAGAAGTTTAATTTAGGGGCCGAGCCAATCACTGTCATCCAGGAGATGATTCTTCAGATTTTGAACTGCCTATTTACTTTGCTTCTTCAGTGGTCGGGTAAGATTACCAAGGAAATTTGTAGGAAAAAGGAAGATTCCTGTGCCCTATCTCTGTGCCCAGAGAGTTAACAAGTTCTTGATGTGATTTTGGTGTAAGTGACCCCCAGATCCGCAGCTAGTCTGTCTTTCTCCTTTGTATTTCTTTCTCTCTACACACACTTAACATCATTCAAAAGCTCTATATGTTATATTTTCCATTTTGTAAAATTGGATAATGAGGCTCAAAGAGATTAAAGTAATTTTCAACTATTGCATATTTAGTTAAGTGGTAGATCTGGTATTCAAGTGAAATAATGTCTTTTCCAAATCCATGGTTTTATTGCTTCAGTCCGGCACCAGTAAATGATTTGGTGAGGAATACACTTGGAACTAAAGATTACTGGTAAATATTAGTTATTTATTGTGATTTTTACCCATTCGTTCAACATTTATTGACTGTTCTACGTGGCAGGGAGTATGGGGGAACAAGACAAGCCCCCCTCACATGATTTTCTAATGGCCAAATGTTATACAGATAATTACTAAATACATTGTGACTGTGATGAGTGTTATTCCTTACATGTTCCTTGGTCCAAGTTCATCAGCTAGGGATTGAAAGCTGACTGAGCATAAAACACAGACAGAGAATTCATTTAAATATATTTTCCTGCGCAAGAATTTTATCATTTTTTGTGTTAAAAGTGAGAAGACCACTTTATTCCACAGGCCCATGACATTCTGACCCAAGGGTGTGTGGCCCAGTGCAAAGAGCAGTGACCTGGGACACTTAAGGCTCGCAGAGTTATAAAGGCATCTCTGCCACCGACAAACTGTGGCAGCGCTAGCAAGTTTCTCAATCTGCGCAAGTCTCAGTTTCTTCATCTATAAGATTAAGTTATTGTGCTTAGTTTTCCATGTTTCCCATAGAAGATCAGCCCACCGTGGTGCCCTGGAGACCTTGTATGTATTTAAGCCCCTGTGTTCCAGTGGGTCTTTACCACCTCAGCACCATGAGATACTGGGATATTTCACCCTGCTTTTAATTTTGCGCTTGCTCATAAGCTTCCCATACATCCCAGACCTCAGTAATTGTCCTTTGAGGAAAACCAGCTGTGCATCTGAAATCCCTCGTTTTTAACTCATCCTCTATCACATCACTTAGAACTTCGATGGTTTCACTTTACCCCATCAGATGCCCTCTGGGGGGCAAAGCTCAATCCTCAGCCTATGCCCAGGATGAGCAAATCGTTACAGGTAATTAAGATGGCTAGTGATCTCAGCTCACCCTGGACTATTCCACCTTCTCTCATTTAGTCCTGGTTGCTGCCGCAGTTCTGTTACATCTAAAAATAAGATGCCACTCTCAGAATTCATTCTGAGCTCACAATGGCTCTTGATCTGATAGATGCTTGGATTGTCAACATTTACTGCTTCCCCAGGTATCCTAGGTCACTTTCCCAGACAACCTATAAGAACCAGCTCTGCAAATTGGGGGACAAAAAGAAATAGCATCTTCAGGTTGGCCATGTTTTCTTTTATGGATACATCCAAAGACCCCAAATGTTCAAAATATCCTTAGCCTGTCCCCTGACCCCCAGAAGTATTTTTCTGAGATCCTGTTGAATACAATGCTCATCCCACTACCCAATCCCAACACTTAAATTGTAATTGTGACCCAGAACTATTGTAATTGATAACAAAGATCCCTGAAAACAAGAACTAAATTATGGCTATAGTTCACAGTTTTGAGGATCAGTTGGCCTGGAGTTATGATCCCCCCACCCTACCGCCGTCCCCAAGATCCAGGTCTGTAGGTCTGTAGTCATCTTCGTGGCTTGCAGGTGCTCAATATTCTTACTGATGTTGTCATCATGAACTATCACTAGCATGAGGACTTTGGAAGCTGTAGTAAAGGGAAGTTAGTTCAGGAGTAGTTGAGAAATCTGTGAAAACCAACTTTTAGGTTTTAAAATAGCATACAGCATATGGACTTCTGCCAAAGAACCGTCTCCTCCCTGGGAAGTCAACGAGGAGAAAACTCTTGACAGGAGTCTCCTTCAGAACACAACTGAGTGCCTGAAGAATTCTAACTGAGAGAAAAGTATGGAGAACTTTGTCCTCAGACAATGTAAGTGCCCTGGAGTGAGGGAACAGGTTAGGGAAAGGGCGGTGGTCCTCTAACCTGTATACGTGCTGCTGGGTGAACAGTGACCACACAGGCTGGGGAGGGAGAGGGAGGTGATGTCTCTGAACTACCTGTGTCAGGGGTAACTCTCAATGCTGGGGAGCAGAGGGGTTTGGAAAGGATACAACGAAAGATTCCAAGCCAAGTGGGCCAGACAGAAATGCTCTAAGAAACATGCAGCAATGCAAGTTTGGGCCTTGCTGGAATTCTGGTGCCATTTGTTGTTTCAGTGACCAGGGCACACGATGTTCAGACCATTCTGCCACAGGCCGAGTCCACGTGACATCCACCACTCTCAGCCTATAGTCTGCAGGCATCTCTTGACCTGCTGTTAAGGTTTGAGGTTAATTGTTTTGGTCTGTTTCCATCACAGGTTTTCATTACCTGTCCTACTACGTATCTCCACTTCTCTCAACTCATCATATTCTTTAGAGCAGCAAATGTAAAGGAGACTGGCTGTGTTGTTTTTGGAAAAGTCCAGAGGTCAGCTATGTAAAAACCCTGTGAAACAAAGGGATAGAAAACAAAAATGGTCCTGTTACACTCACGGCCCTGAACAAAGCCATCGTAGGAGAGTGATTTGCTATCAGAAGGAAGTATATCATCTATTTTCATATCTAATGAAGTATATATCTGGCGGAGAGAGAATGATAGTGGTCCTTATCCCTGGGTGTATATCAGAACCATCTGGAGAGCTTAAATATGAACCCCACGCCAGAGATTTTAATTTACTGATGACTAGGCATCAGTATTTTTATGGAATCTGCCTAGGTTATATGCATGTCCAGCCCAGCACGGCTAAGTGTGCAGTTCACAGAAAGTGCTGAAAATCAAATCATTGGTCCTGCACTTCTCTAGTTAATGTGGGCATACCCTGGAACAAAAAGAAAAGAAAAAGTAGCTGATGTACAGATGACATCACTTATGTTCTACCCCTGTAACTTCTTCATTTAAATGTGCCTCTGTGGCAATTTACATTCTTTGGGTCCTGAGATTACCAAGGCAGATAGATCGTTTTTTAAGACTTTTTAAAATTGATTTTTAGAGAACATGAGGATTTAGAGAAGGGAGAGGGAAAAAGAAACATCGATGTGAGAGAGAAACAGCGATCAGCTGCCTCCTGCACACCCTCTATAGAGAATCAAGCCCACAACTCGGGCATGTGCCCTGACCAGGAATCGAACCAGCAACCTTTCAGTGCATGGGATGATGCCCAACAGAGCCACATCATCCAGGGTGGCAGACAGATCTTGATAATATAATTAGTAATCAATGAAGAACTCAAATTTTGCTGTATAATATTTTTATTCAACAGTTTTATGGGGAAAAAACTCACATTTCTGTATGTGTTATGTCACATAATTTCCACACACGTCAGAATCCAGTAACAAATTACATTTGGAGAAAAGTTTTAAAATCCATTCTTGTATGCCACTCCTCTATGAAACACTGAAAAGCAGTTCTGCACCTCAGCACAAAAGGTTACAAAAAGCACCATTTAAAGGAGTCTCACATGTTTACTTTTCTTCAAATCATAGTATCATTTCTCCTTTATGACTGAGCTTCACTAATTCAAAATGCTTCTGTATAATAACAACCAACATCCTCCAATTTACAAGTATTCAAACAAGTCTCACATATGGGTCCCAGTGTGGAAATAAGGACTAAAACCATCAGTGAAACCTCAACCTGGGTAAGATAAGTGTTCTGTAGACAGAAGTAGAAAAGATGATCAATACATAACAGTTGTTAGGAATCCCTTGACCATTTACTCTGACTACAAAATCCAGTGTTCATTGTCTCATACCAATCTTACTACAAAAGCACTGTGCTGCACACAATTAATTCCTCTCCAATTAATGTTGAAACTAATAAAAAATTTAATGTTTAACAAATGTATTCACTTCCAAGCACAATTGAGAAAAGCAAATCAAGACAAACCCCAAATATGAATCCTAGAGAGACTCCATTACTAAAAATTGGATTTTGTAAGTAGCAGATTTGAGGTTTTTTTTTTTCTTTTATTCCTTTCTTTTTTCTTATAATTTAAAAATAAACAATTTTTTTTACTCCAAAAGTTTGGGTTCATTGCAGAAGTCACAGCCCTTCAAGCTCCAATTGTGATTGGCATGAAAGAGGAGGCAAATGCCTAGATTCAGAGTTTTAAAAGACCTTAACTTCTACCCCTCCCAGACCCTCCACCCCATGGTAACTGAAATCAGAAGTCCCTGGTAGAAGACAGCAAGAACTTGGCTTTAAGGATGAGTGAGAATAATGTAGGAACAAACTATGTATCTGCTAGTAAGCCCATGCCCCAAATCACTAGAACATGAGGATTTAGAAACCATTGAGAACAGAATATATTTCAAACACACACAAACACAGACTATTGCATATCATTTTTAGTTGAGGTCAAAAATTTAAAAGCCCTGTTTCCCCAGTTAAAAGCAGGGAATTCTATCATTAGTATGTCTCCTTCATTTATACCCCAGATTAATATAAACCCAGTCTGGAGGTAACACTTCTTTCCAAATTTAACTTCATGTTAGCAGCATACATAGAGTACCAACACTTTTCAAAGGTTTATCTCAGATCCATTAGGTCTACAAGAGACTAGAAATAACTGGAAGGGAGTGGCCAGGGTTTATAGGATCCTCTCAGAAACTTCTCCTGGATTCTTCTTTTATAGGCTTGCTTTACCACGTAAGCATTGTTTTAAAAAGCCAAACTCTTAAGGCCCAGGTATGCCCTTCAGGAGTGTTGCCTGTACTGGTTGAATCCCTAAGCTTAAAGCAAGCTAACAACCATGACGTAGAAGTTCTCCAAACCAGCACGATGACTAACATTTACTTTAGGTAATGTTTTGACTTGATACCCTGGTAGAGTCTACCTGACAAATGAAGTTAAAGCAGAATATAGAAAAAAGGATAGAGAATAGGAACACGAGTCTTTTATACAGTAAATTCTGTACAGTGAGATCCAAGGACACTAGCATGTTATGTCTGATTTAAATTTTTTAAAAAAGGATAGTTCTGAGTTACTCAAGTCTTTCTTTTCCTAGTATTATGCCTCAGCTCATTTCTTCCCACAACCCCAAAAGCATGATGCAGTTCTTTAAAGGTTAGCCTTCTCAAGAGCTACTTTCTTACTCTTCTGACCCTTGTGAAACTACTATAGCCTCTCCCAAAAAAGCTAAAAATATTTTTTCTTGCTTTAATTAATTTCCAAAATCTGCCAAACTCTCTTCTGCAGAAAGTAAAATATCCCTTTAACCAATATAAAGGAATGGGTGGGTGTACTTGGGGCTACCTTCCTCCCCCTCCCTACTGTCTAAAACGGTTTCTTAGGGAAAGGCCAAGAGTGTGATCAGGTTTCTCAGGGCTGTGGGACAAATCAGCAGTACAGAGAAGGAACAATACAGGAGTCATCACCCAGTTCCTCTCACCTGTCACCTTCCCTACCAGCTGGCAGGCTCCCATTTTACATCTGGCTGGAAGATTACCTCACTACTTGGGAACACTCTCAGCAAGTGTCCAGATTAGAAAGCTGTCAAAGTCACCAGCACCAAAACCTACTATCACTGGAGCCAAACCCAATTCAACAAAGCCTGTGGCCAGAGAGAAATTGAAGGGGTCTCTTTTCCTGGCCCCTCTACGATACACCTGTGTGGAGTAAAAATGTTAGTACATGAACATATAGGCAATTACATTTCAATACTGTTGACAAGAAATATGAGCACAACAAAATCCTTTCTGTAACAACCAAGATTTTGACTCCTTCCTAAGTAGCTCATTTATTTAATGGGTATTAGAAAAAATAAAATTCTAGTTTAACTGAAGATGATATAGATCCTAAGCGTTGGTTAAAATAGGGTTTGGCCTGGGTATTTTAAATGGCACACCATTCAAAAAGTGGTTGGGACATAAAAGTTCTCCACAAACGCCTTTTGCTGCAGGTGGTCTTGAGTGGCTAAAGCAATATTTACTCTCAGCAGCTGGCCACCACAGCACTCAGCAATTTGCATTCCCAGCAAAACACCATACCCTACTGCCTCACACCTAGTAAGAGGCCTACATGCCTGAAAATAACTCTGTCCTCAGCTTTGTATGGGAAAGCAGAGGTTAAAAAAAACTGACCTGTGGATGCCCTTTCAGTGTGGCTGGGCTGATCTTAGGAGTCAAGGAGTCTCTCAAGCATCAAGTGTGGACTCCTTAGGTGTTGAATGTGTGACATGCATTTATCTGTAATGGAAGATACCTGGAAAATATGTTTTATCATTGAAACCCAAGAGTGGATTGAATAGCTACTTTCCATTCCACAAATGGAAATCATTGACCCCACTTCACCCTCAAATGTTTTTTAAAAAGAGGCAGAAGAACAAAATGATGGTTGAAAACACCAAGGGTACTTTCTTGCTTCTTGGCCTAATGAATCTTGAGTTGAGGGAACCTTTTAGGTGCATCAAATGAGCCTGAATAAATCTGTGTCTGGAACAGCATTTAGTGTAATGATGTGCACAGGGTCACCTACTTCAATGTAAGATTGTAGAGGGCTAGACTAGGGAAGAAAATCTTGGGAACCATTTATCAAGAGTCTGAATTCTCCTATCAAGTCTTGTACGACCAATGAGAAGGCATTTTAAATTAAAGGAAAATATAGGCACATAAAAATCTTCCAAGGATGAAAGAAATGAAAGTTTTCCTTGGTTCACTCCCACCTTTCATGCCATCTGCTCTGAGAAGGAGAACATGGACAGGGCCTGGCCAGGTAGGAAAACCTATAGGAATGTGCCAATACAGCCTAAGCTGCGGCGTGAAATTAAAACAAGAGAGTAGGCCTTCTGCATTCCGGCCTTTCTTATCATGCTGAGCCATTATTTTCCTTAGACAAGTGGTAACAAAGTGGCCTGTGCCTGGGCTGGGCTAAAGAAGACTTTCTAGCAGCCCTAGTCTCCGAGGTGGGTCAGATATCACACAGCCTTTGAAAGGGGTCATTTACCCAATGATTTTTTGTTAGGGGAGGGTCAGGTATAGGATCTGAAAGAGGTTATCAAAGCAAGAACGTGACATGAGAGGAAAAAAGGGTTCTTGTGGGGCATCTGGTACTATATAAGAAACACAGATTGTATCCTCAGGTGAGGATAAAAAACACACTCAAAACAAACAAACAAACACAAACAGTAACAGACTGTGCCACATACTCTGGGAATACAGAAAACCCATGCAAGAAAAGCTGCCCTGCAAGGAGGCAGCTGTATGTAGGGCCGGAGTCTGGCACAAGTCCATCCCTTGGAAAGCCAAGGTAGCAGTGATAGACTCTCCACCCATCAAGGATCCTGAGTTTGCTCTTCATTCGTTTTAGGAGAAAAGCTTCCTGTAATGAAGGTTCTTCCTGCAGCATCCCCAAACAGTTCTTGGTAAGTCCCCACAGGCAGAGAGAATACGTCTAGCTAGGAGGCTTCCATTAACTTTCCTTTCACATGTACATATAATTTTCTTTCTTAAAATAAATTCCATGAATTCAGAAAGCTCTCGTCTTCAATCAAATGCAAAAGAAGAGCATCCTACTCAGAGGCTCTGAAACACAACATCAGCCTCAAAGCAAATCAGCCTTCCAGTCTCAGGTAAGACTGGTCCAGTCCAGAAAAGCAAGGGAAATGCTTCTGAAGCCTGGGAGGCAAAAAGGGATCCCTTCAGATGGGCTTATACAGCAAAGTAGTGACATACTTCTTCTTGTAGCGATGGGTTGCACTAAGGACCATCACACTGTCCTGCAAGGAAAAGAAACAGACAAAGCTAATTCATTCGTTTAGGTGACAGGCAATTCTTCCCAGCTACCAGTCCTTCCCAGCTGCTCACTTTTAAGAGACATAGTTTGATATTATAAGAGTTTGGTTTTGGAGTCAAATCAACTTAAATTCTGATCCTGAATCCTACTGTTACTCTGTTTGTGGCCTTGAATAATCTACTTCATGTCTGTATATCTTTTTCTCATCATTAAAAGGATAATACCTACCATTAAGGTGGCTCTGACGATTACACTGGAACATCTGGAATAGTACCTGACACATAGTAGGTGTTGAAGAAACACTAGTTCTCCTACTTCACTCCCTTCCCCATTTTAAATTTGAATATTGGGTTTAACACTAGCAAAGAAAAAAAAGAAACATCCTGGCATCCATTTACAGAAGGAAGTCTTAAATGCAATGAGAAGGGCAGTGATTCTTTTAAAAAACCATTTCCAAGCCCTGAAGTAGGTCTAATTTCCATTTAACACCAGGGATGAACTTAAAGTCTTCTCTGATCAAGAAGGGACTCGGGAATTCCCTTCTATCCTTGAATAAAGTAGACCCCAAAATCCTCCTAGGAAAGACACTCAATCCAATGGATTAATTCCAGACAGCCTAAACAATCTGGGTCAAGGCCAAGGTGAATCACAACACTCAAGATCAGTGTGAAAAGTAAAAGGTACAATTTCCCAGGCTGTGTTACAGGCCATGTGTGTACCATAAGAGACGACGGCAGGCCTGTGGACATCCATTGATAGCCAAGGAGCAGCTATAAGAGGCAAAAGTTCAGTCAGATCCCAAAGAACCCAAGCAGATCCAATTGAGAAAGCAGCACATCTTCCTATTTTCCCCTATACTGTTGATCCATAATGCATGCTTCCCAGATTAACACCCTGTGAGCAGAGAAGGCTGATCATGGCCTAAATATGACAGAAGCAAGGCAAGTATAAGTTCAACTCCAAGAAGGGTTTGATAGAAATAAGGAGCAGGTGACAGAAAGATCTACTAGGAAAGACCTGGCACAGTAATCTCTAGGAATGAACATAGAATGAGGATAGGAGGACTGGACTTCAGTCCTCTCTCTGGTACTTACTGGCAATTTGACCTTCTCTGAGCCTTAGTTTCTTTATCTATAAAACAGGGGTTAAAAATAATGCTTACTACACAAGGTTATTGTAAAAAATAAATTCAATAATATATATTTAAAGTACTTGTTAAAGAAGTCATCTGTTAAAGAAGCTATATCAGTGATCTCCCTTATCTGATACAGATCTAAGAAATACAAGCAGCTTAAAAAGATGACTGGGACCCATCCTAGATGCACTTATTCAGAATGCCTGGGGATGTAGCCTCTGAAGCTGTATTTTTATAAACTTCCCAGGTGATTCTGGTGATCAGCCTAGTCTGGTAACTGTACAGCAATATAAAACTTTATTCCAATAGCCAAACCACAAAGACATGACTAGACTTGACGGGTATTTTCAACCTAGACTCTAAAGCAGCAGAGAAACCAAGAGGACTCTAAGAGTTGGAGGGGACATGGCAAATCTAGTCATATTTCTCCCAACCTAGAATATAGGAGAGATGCAATCACTTGGGTGTGTATGACTGAGGCCTCCAAAAGCAGCTGTGTTTATCTTTTAAAAAGTGGGAGTCTTAATATCACATTTAAGCATTCTTTGAACTAGAAGCTAAACTTGCTTTTTCTGCAAATAAAATTCTAGTGCTATGAACTCAAACTTAATTATGTAGGCAGTACAAAGGTTATAGCTACCCAAAAAGAAACCAGGGAATAAAAAAGTCCAATCACAGGAAAATTCAGGTAGCCAGAACATAGATATAGAGACTAAGGCTTTTTAAATTAAATTTATCAGAGTGACATTGGGTAATAGGATATAGGTTTCAAGTGTACATTTCTATGATACATAATCTGTATACTGCATTGTGTGCCCACCACCCACAGTCAAATCATCCTCCATCACCATATATTTAGCCCCCTCGCCCCTTTATTACACCCTACTCCCTTCCCTCTGGTACCCACCATACAGTTGTCTGTGTCTGAGTTTCAATTTTATATCCCACATATAAGAATCATATGGTTCTTAGTTTTTTCTGACTGACTTATTTTGCTTAGCCTAGTATTCTTAAGGTCCATCCATGTTATCACTAATGGCAATATTTCATCTTTTCTTATGGCTAAGTAGTATTCCATCGTATAATATGTAGCACATCTTCTTTATCCAATCATCTATCAGAGGTCACTGCAGTGGTTTCTATGTCTTGGCCACCATGTATAATACTGCAATGAACATAGGGGTGCATATATCTTTGCAAATAAATATCTTCAAATTTTTCAGGTAGATACCCAGAAGAGGGATTACTGGGTCATATAGTAATTCTATTCTTAATTTTCTGAAGAGCCTCCATACTGTTTTCCATAGAGGCTGTACCAGTTTACATTCCTACTAGCAGTGAATGAGGGTTCCTTTTTCTCTACAACCTCTCCAATACTTATTACTTGTCTTACTGGTAATAGCCATTCCAACATGTGTGAGGTGGTGTCTCATTGTAGTTTTGATTTGCATTTACCTAATAGTTAGTGAAGTTGAACATCTTTTCATATATCTGTTGGCCACTGTCTTCTTGGAAGTGTCTATTCAGCTCTCCTGCCCATTTTTTAATTGGACTATTTATTTGTTTGGTGTTGCGTTGCAAGAGTTCTTTATATATTTTGGATATTAACCGCCCCCTTAAAAAAATTTTTTTTTCTTTACTGATTTGAGAGAGAGGAAGGGAGAGGGGGAGAGATAGAAATATCGATGAGTGAGAACATTGATTGGCCGCCTCCTGCATGCCCCGAGCTGTTGTTTGCAAATACCTTCTCCCATTCGGTTGTTTGTCTTTTAGTTCTGTTGGCAGTTTCTTTTGCTATGCAGAAGCTTTTTGAGACTAAGTTTTTGTTTTTGTTTTTTTAAATAAGAAAACCCACTCATTAGTTTAAAAAAGTTCTCTGTACTTTGACCATTACTGCCAGTCTCAGCTTCAGTGAAGTGCAGAGCAAGTAACCACTGGAGAACACGTTACCCTTCCCTCCAATTTTGGGGAGATCTGTGAAGAGCTAGCCTCACCATTTACCTTAATGGACAACGCATAGAGATGGTTCAGCATAACATGATTGGGCTCGGGGAGCAAGGCTGGGTCACACTAAGAGAGAAGAAAAAAAAGTCACTGAATGCGGTAAAATGCACAGTCTTAAAACCAAGCAGTTTACTCTTCTTCCAAGCCCTTTGGGATTGTTGAGAAACTCAAAACTGGTATGTATTGTTTCTTTTAAATACTGCACTCACCCTTGTATATATTAATAATGCATTCTCATTTCAGGAAAATTCTGAGTCCAGTGCAGAAACCCTATGCTTCAGCATCTATTCCTCTTCCTAAATAGAGCTAAGACAAAAATCTTGCCCACAACACATATAGAAGATTCGGGTTAAGAGGTAACAGCAATCTAAAAGGGAATCAAGTGAATTGACTAGAGACGTAAATTATACGGGGAAAAAACCCATAACCCTTATACTTCTTTTCTATATCCTCAAATGATAAATACTCTTTATCTTATGTTGGAATATAAGTCCCTAAAACTGGTTCTAGTAATCCATATTTCTGGGCCTGAATTATTTGGAGCAGAAGACAACTATAAATTTTGATATCAGTACCTGGAAAAATCACAACTCAGCCCTAGTTTTTAAAAAAGAATCGGTAATAATAATTTATATATATATATATATATATATATACACACATACATACATATACATATATACATGATACCTATATCTATATCTATAACAATATGAAAAGATTAGATTTCTTCTTTCTTTCTCTCTACATATATATATATATATATATATATATATACACACATATGTGTGTGTGTATGTATATTATTTATACTCTCAACACACCTTTGTAATGATCCCAACCTCTAGGATTACTAAACTTTAGCTCAAATGGTCTGAGTGACCCCAAGATGCCCCAGCAATGCTCTCAGGATACTCACAGAAATATTAGTGTCTTTGTTAAGAATAACTTGGAGAAGGTGAGGAGGCAAGATGGGTGGGGATTTGAATCTCTCCTCAGATCGAAACACATACATTTCTTGACCATAAGGCCCTGGGGGTGAGCTGGAAAGGTCTGGAAGACATTTATACAAATACAAGTGAAAGTTAGAGAACTAGTAAAAATACATGAAAAAAATGTCATTAACATGGCAGCTAATAATAAATACATAGAAGCCATGGATCATGAACTTGTGACGTGTTGGGCTACAGCTGTAAGGCAGACAAAAACATCTAAGTTATCCTGAACATATATCAGGAAGTTCCTCAACATGGCAACATGATACGGAGGACAGAGGCGTGAGGGGTAAAAGATGTAGATTTTGGGAAGGAGTACTCCATTTATCAGTTGTGTGACGTGGACAAATCGGGCCACTATGGTCAGTTTCCTCATTCATAAAATAAAAAGAATCTCTGCTCTATTTCACAATATTTTTCAAGGAATCAAATAAGATAACAGATGTGACAATGCCCTGTAAACTGTTAAACAATATGACAAGATTAGATTTCTTTTTTCCACCTAAGCAACAAACAAGATTATAAACTCTAAGATTTATAACTCTAAGATTACTTATACAACCATGTCTACAACAATGAGTACAAGCTTACTAATAATATAGTAGTCATTAGGAAAATGCAAATAAAAACCATAATATACCACTCAGTTAGATGGCTATAATAAAAAGGACTGGCAATAACAATAATTGTTGGCAAGTATGCGGAGAAACTAGAACCTCTGTACTATTCCCACTGCTGGAGGGTATGTGAAATGGTGCAGCTGCTTTGAAGAATAGTTTGGCAGTTCCTTCAAAAGTTAAACATAACGTTAACAATATGACCCAGAAATTACATTTGTTGGTATATAACCAAGAGAAATGAAAACATATGTCCACACAAAATGTTGAACACAAATGTTCAAAACAGCATCATTTATAATAAACAAAACCAGTAGCAATCAGCTAATGATGGATTAATAATATAGTATATCCATATAGAATTTTATTCAGCTATAAAAAAGAATAAAATACTGATGCATATTATAACATGGATGACCATATTAAGTGAAAGAAGCCAGACACAAAACGAAAAAATGAGCCCTGGCCGGTCTGGCTCAGGGCGGCCTGTATGGTCATGCGGGTGGCAGCCACTCGATGTGTCCCTTTCACATCGATGTTTCCCTCTCTCTCTCTCTTCCTCTCTCTCCCTCCCACTCTATCTGAACAAAAAATGGAAAAAATGTTCTCGGGTGAGGATAAAAAACAGACAAAAAAACGGAAAAATGTATGCAGACAATAGAAGTAAATATACAAAAATGAAGAGAACTATAACTTTTTGCTTAACAAATTTTAATAGTTTTTAATAGTCTCTAGTAAAAAAGATTTTAGTAATCACTTCAGTATAAGAACTCAGATTTCGCCCTGGCCGGTTTGGCTCAGCGGTTGGAGCGTTGGCCGGCGGTACAGAGAGACCCGGGTTCGGTTCCCGCTAAGGGCATGTTCCTCGGTTGCAGTTTGTTCCTGGCCCTGGTTGGTCGTGCGGGTGGCAGCCACTCGATGTGTCCCTTCACGTCGATGTTTCTCTCTCTCTCTCTCTCTCTCTCTCTCCCACTCTATCTGAACAAAAAATGGAAAAAATGTCCTCGGGTGAGGATAAAAAAAAAAAAAAAAGAACTCAGATTTCAGTTGAATATATGAGGTACAAGAGAAGAGTAGCAGTAATACTGCTATATTAAATAACATCTTAAAAATATATAAAACTTGAAATTACTCAAAATACTGTTACTTTGTCATGTGATTCACAAAACACCCCTAGGAAGTATTTAGAAAGTTTTTATTTCCTTTTCATCCAAAATTTTAAAAAACAAATTGGTTAAGTGATTTGCCCAAAGTCATATTACCAAGATGGTCATTGAGTGCAGATTAAAACCCACTGTCTGCTAATTCCTAATAAAATGCATTCTAAACCTTACCTCAGTGGATCAGGAAATTGGGTAAAAGAGGGAAGAAAGACATAGCAAAAGTATGGTAGTCCTCTCTCTACATAATTATGATTATATATCTATTATTTATTGGCTGCTTTGTCAGAATCATGTAATATACAAATTTCATCACATGTGGCCTCATGATTTAGTTCAGTATTTTTAAACCTCTTTTATTCACTGCCCCACCAGCCAAGAAGAATGTCCAGCTTTACTTTCTGAGCTTATAGATTGAAAACAGTATTTTTACAATTTTCCTAAACAGACAGTTATACTATTGATTATTCTTTTAGGAATTGCTTCTTTTAGTAAGCAACTCTTCGTGTCCTGAGATTCTAACATGCCCCATTTAAGGTACTGTGTCTTCTCGGCTGAGAATCATTGACAGTCTAAGCCTCCAATTTTACTGAACTGAGAACCAAAAAGGTTGAAGGACTTGTCCACCGTAGCAAAGCTAAGTGGCAGAGACAGGCTTTGAACCCACAAGGGAGAAGTGTGAGCACTAGGAACACTGTGCACACAGTTCTGTAGACAGTCACAGCCTTTACTGTAAAGTAAGAAAACGGTAACTGTGAGTGTGGTTAGCAAAGCACTCTTTCTGGTGCTGCAGCAAATGTACATGGAGATGAAGGCCTTGGAAAAAGTAATATTGGGAGAAACTAAAGGATACAGGCCTTTTATTCGCTCATGGAATTTTTTTTTTTAATTAAAAACTTCAGTTAGAATACACACAAAAGAACTGTGGGGTTCTGTAACCCCTCTTTCCCCAAAGACTGCCATACCTGTAGGATCCTATACCACTGTAGACTGTAGGCAAACCAGACAACATCTAGCCTCTGGGGGATGATGTCACCAAATGTCAATGGAAAACTTAAAATATTATTAAAAATAGCTTTCTAAACTATAGGCCATAGCCCATTAGTGGCTTAAAAAAGAAAGGATAAAACAAAAAATAGAGTGCATCACATGTAATAAAGGCAAACACTGTTCTCTAAGACTTGTGTTACAGTTGTGTGTGTGTGTGTGCGTGTGTGTATTGGGTTACAATGTAAAACAAAAGTCTTACCTTAGATCCTGGATAAAGTTTAAAATCAAATACTCTAAACTGAGATTTGTTTTAGTTTCAGAGAAGGAGACCTAAATGCTTACAGAATTATACAGGGTGGGGCAAAAAGTATGTTTACAATGGTTTGTATGGAAAATAATTAATAAATAATACAAGAATAAACTCTGTTTCATGTACTCAAAGCTATAAACCCATTTTTGCCTCACCCTGTATTTAATTCAGAAGATTCCCAAAGAGAAAATGAAAAAAGCAAATGAAACCAACTCTTGGGAAGGAACATACATTGTAAGAAAAATACATCAAGAAAGAGCAAATACTACAAAAATTACCTCGACAGGACATCTCCGAGCTTTCCATTGAATCTAGTTTTAAAGCATCAAACACCTCAAAATCAGACTTTTTGACATGGATCAAATTGTTAATCGTGCCAAGCTGGCTGGTAACCACAGGCTGAAACAGTGAATGGAAAAAAATGTATGAGTTCCTGTTTCAAATCCATCTCATCCACTCAAACGATCCTCTTTTTAAAAATGATCATACCCACCACCTCCATCTTTTATCAACAGAAAAACCCTCCAGAGCAAGAGAGTTGCTGCCCATCAGTCCTAATAGCAATGAAGTTTGACACCAAGGGGAATATAGCTAGAAGACTGTTAAGTCAGTGGCTGCCCTAGGAGATCAAGACCTTACCTCTGACGGATCATGAACCCACTGTCCATCCACAAAGAACTTGTACTGGTGTTCTCCCTCAGGGAGGTCCAGGATGGCCACAAAGTCATTATGGCTACAGAAGAAAACAAAAAGTTAAACAGGCCAAGTTCCCATCAGAAGATGGAATGTAAATGTCAAAACCATGAGGCAATCAAAATATCATACCAATTATTTCCCACATTGCTAAGTGAACATAGCCACTGAAGTAACAAATAATTTATAAACTCAGTTTGCTTTCCTATATCATGTTTGGCATGTATTTGCCAGCCCCTCTCAATAACTTTAGTTCTTAACTAATGTTTGGAAAATAATAATAAAAATGTTAATCTCCCAAATGGTTCATCTTAGTACAATTATTTTGCTTTAGCAGAACAGATCCCTCATAAATGCAAATAAGATAGCAGGTAGATGCAGGATACAGAAGTGGCTCAAGGTACCCTTGCCATATTTTGGTGAGCATCTTCTGAAAATTACATACTAATAGATAAGCCTTTCTGATAACCAGTTAATTCATTATTGCTCTGCACGCAACAAATAACATTACTACCTAGAATTTCACAATGTGATTTGTTTTGGTGCAGAAGTCAGAGGAACTGGACTCAGCTAGTTATAGAACACTTCTTACAACCAAAGAAAGGACTTAATTAACACAGTCCTACAGAATGTATCCACAAAGCTATAAATCCCTCTGCGTAGTAAAACACTCAAGTGGTAAAACACCTCTGACTCACTATGAGGTTAAAAAAAGTCACAGATATATAGTAGTCGCTGGTCACACAAAATGTTCAAGAGACCCTAGCACGTGGAGAGGAATAGTCCAGCCAGGTCTCTACTCCTGGATTCTACAGACTCAATCAAGACACTTGTCTTCACCTCTTAATCAGTGGAATCTTGGTGCTCCAATTGTTGAAGGACCCAGAGATGAAGACCTCCTTGCCTCCTTCAGACCAGCGGATAACAGTGGGTCGGGCCTGCTGTGTGGGCTTTACGGAGTCCTCCAAATCCTGCTGCCATGATACAAACTCTTTGTCCCCAGGGAGCTGTAAGAAGGATTAGGTCATCCCTAAATTGTGACCCAGGAATTCGTAAAGGTCAATCTCCTTCCTAGAGCTAGGTATCTGCTAAGGATCAATAAACCCTGAAATTAGCAACTAAATCAGGTTTTGAACACACTATCGGAAAATAACTCAGCTAGGACCCAAATGGTCAAATGGTTTATGCTTAAGGGCTGCCCAGATCACATCCTAACCTCCAAGTCCATTTCCTCTTATCACATTAACTCACCCAGGCAACTATGATATGCTTCTGAGTGCCCCTTAAGATGAAAAAGTGTGAAAACAAAGTATGATTCTATAAAAAATAATTAAGCTAGCCATGTATTTTTCACATGCAAGTATGAAGAGCTTTCAATTATAAGTTGTAATAGAAGATAGAGATACTGAAATTCATAAATAATTCATAAACTCCATTTTAGCTAATAGGTTACTAAGGGTATTAAAAATATAAAAACCAGATCACTGGTTTCTTAAATTTTGAGAAGTGGTTATTTGCTCACCTATGTCAGGTTTATACTAATTATTTTAGGAGGAGGAATGAAAATTCTGGAGGCTCAAGGAACAACAGGCCAAAAACACAGCTTCCTTCAACAAAAGCAGTTCCAATATCAAATGAGGTCTGTAGGATTCTGAAAAACATTGACCTCTTACTTAGTTTCTTTTTACTACCATGTTGGGAAATTTTCCTGAGACTGAAGAAAGAGTCTGACAACATCATTACATCAAGAGTTTATTAAGGGAACTTACATGAGACTCATCTTGGGCTTCAGCAAGATAATGTGGATATACTCCAAGCCCTGTAGCAGGTACTAAAGAACTATATAGAACAGAGCAGAATGGATAGGGGTACTGGGACAAGAGCTGCCCCAGATAAGGGGAATAGCCTTAGTGCCTGCCAGGAGATGGGCAGGGCAAGGGCCAGTTCCAGGAACCAGCACATCTGGGGCATAGGGGAGGGATTGATCAGTCTCTGAGGGGAAGTAATCTCTGTTCTGGCTGGGATCTACCTGGATGTAGGTAGACAGTCAGGCAGAGGTCATGTCTTGGAATAGTCTCTCTACATACCATCCTTTAGAAGAAGAGTTGGCAAACTATTGCCAGTGAGCCAGATGCTTTTAAAAATAAAGTTTTACTGGAAAATAGCACACTTATTCATATACTTAGTATCTACAGCTATTTTCACACTACAGTAGCAGAAATGGGTAGTTGTGAGAGATGATATGGTCTTCAAAGTCTAAAATATTTACTATCTGGCCCTTTACAGAAAGTATGCTGAGCCCCAATTTACATTGGCTTAAATGATGTTGGTAAATAGGTAAATAAGACTGTACAATATCAAGTCAAAAGATTATCAAATAGCCCTTGCAGGGTAGTTCAATTGGTTGGGCATTGTCCCATGCACCTAAAGGTTGCCTGTTCGATTCCTGGTCAGGGCACATGACTTGGTTCGATCCTGAGTCGGGGTTTGTGCAAGAGGTAATCAATCGATGTTTCTCTCTCCCTCTCCCTTCTGCTCTCTCTAGAACCAATAAAAACATATTTTAAAAAAGATTATCAAATAATGTGGGTTTTTTTTTTTTTTTTTAAAGGACTAACTTATTCATTTGGACTTTATTTCAAAATGGCTGGGCTAGTCTACCTTCCATACTACCTCTCGATATTCCTCAAAACTGCACTGAGACACCAGTAACAGCATAATCTGAAGAAAACAGAGAAACAGAATTGAAGGGACTTTCACATTATATATGTGGCTTAAGAGAAAACCTAATCTCCATATTCTTAAAGCAATGCACTCTTGTCTGACAGGCTGCATCAGAATTACAAAAGTTCTACATATGCCTACAAATAATCCTCAGATTCTGATTCAGATATAGGGCCTGGGAATCTCTTTAAGTTTCACATATAATAATGCTATGACATGTTAAACAAAGGAAAAAAACCTCATCTTTAGAGATATGTCCTAAAATATTTAGATAAAATAATATATAGCATGTCTGGAATTTGCTTCAAAATAATTGGTGGGGAGAGTGAATTGGTATAAATGATATAAATGCAGTCATGATTTTATCATTCTTTTTTTTTTTTTTTAATCCTCACTCGAGGGTATTTTTCCATTTATCTGCAGAAGGGGTGGGGGGACATTGATGTGAGAGAGACACATCAATTGGCGGCCTCTCGCATGATTCCAACTAGGGCCAGGGACTGAACCGCAACTGAGGTACGTGACCTTGACTGGAATTGAACTTGCGACTCTTGGTCTGAGGGCCAACACTCCAACCGCTGAGCCAAACCAGCCAGGGCTGATCTGATCATTCTTTAAACTGGGTGACAGGTATTTAACAGTTCATTACACTGTTCTTTCTACACTTTGAAACATGGAAAATGCATGAAGTTTTTAAACAAATCTTAAGTGATTATAATGTGCAAACAGAATTGAGAACTGAAAAAGGTTGGCATTCAAAGCAATGTAGGCCCCACTACCACTGTTTCTATCAGTTACTGTTGCAATTTAGGGTTTTCGATTTAGAGTACGAAAGCTACAAACTATTAATATGCCTAGCTTTGGAAGAAAGCCCTTTCACTTATGACATGACATTTCTGTGGTAAACATGAGTGCAGCTGACTAGCAGAAAGACTGTTTACACCAAGTTAAATAGTCAGCAAAGTCATCAGGAAAAGAGATAAAACAATTAGAATTCCATTTGGAAATATTTAAGTAAAACATTGAGGGAAGAAGTAGAGACAATAGTTTGAGAACTATAAAATCTTAGATTTGGAAGAGACCTTAGGAGTGATCTGAACCAATTTTCTTATTTCACAAATGGCAAGACTGCGGTAAGGGAAAGAATGATCTAAAATAGGCTCCATTTCAGACAAAGCAACCTGGCTTTTATCCAGGACACCAATGACCCCGGTCACAGTTTGACAAATACCCTGTTCTTAAATCCTGAGTCATCAATGAAGCACAATGGTAAAAATACAGTGAGGAAGATCACCTTGAGAAAGCCTCCAAGTAAATTCAGATGGCTGGAGGGACAGCTCAAATGATGAGGAAAAAGTCCTGAAGTGGGAGAAGAAAGGAACAGAGAGGAAACCCCAAGAAATGGTCCTTTTAATCACCCTCACTCCTCCTTTCTCTGATTATGTTCTCAGCTGGGATCCAAGAAAATAACCAAATCCCATGTGCTGCCTACGTGGCAAATCATTCCCTGTGAACTTCGTTGAAGAGAGAAGAAACATCACACACCCTCAAACCTCCTCAAGCCCTCCGTTTTTCTACTTCCTCCCCGTGGGCCTTAATGCGCGTGACGCTGACAGCTCTAAACGTGATTAGGGACATTTGGGTGGTAATCACATGGCCTTCGACTCCATCTGTCACTTTGGTGGAGTGAACACAAGTGGCTGCTTTCCCGAAAGTCTCTGGAACCGAGAGCAAGGTCTTCGGAGCGACTGCGGGTGGTCGTTTTTAGCCAAGAGAACCTCATGCAGGACTACCGGGAAACGGAGAAACCCTGGAATGCTTTGCTCTGCCGGCCGTGAAAGAGCATAACCTCGGCCACCACAGCCACAGAGTCTGGGACAGAAACACCAGCGACGTCCTTTATCGAGCCCCACGGCTAGGGGAAAGTATTCAGATAAGCAAGTGGATGCTGCTCGCAGCCAAGCCACAGGGAAAAGGATCAGAAGCGCTGCGCTCCAAGAGGGGCGAAAATGATACCAGTTGTCAGGAAAAACATCCCTTTGCCCACCTCGGGGCACGAGTGAGAAACCGTGACATTTCCCACCAGCGCTTACAACTTACATACCCATCCACACTCTAGGAGAGGACGCCCTGCCTGCTAGAACCAAAGATTCTGGGCGGGTGGGGGTCCCCTTGTCCTCATCCTGAGAATGTGGCCAACCAACTGGGCGGAAAACAGGAACTCTCAATTCTCTTTGGAGGCAGTTCTGCAAGAGGAATCGCCATCCAGCATCTCGGTTCCCGAGAAATCCCGTTACCCGAAGAAACCGTAACCTAGGTCGGTGTGATAAGAAGTGAGAGCGGGAGGCGGAGACCTGACACCCAGGCCGCGGCAGAACCGCCAGCCCCGGGGGCGTGGGACGCTCACCTTGGAGTCCGGCAGGCTGAAGACGCCGGGGTCCTCAGTGCTGCCCACCATGATCTTGTGCTCCTTGCCCAGGCCGTGGCCGCCGGCGCCCTCCGCGCGCGCAGCCCTGGCGCCGTGCCGCTCCCCGGCCGCCCGGTCGCTGGCGGTGTTTCCCATGGCTGTAGTTCGAGTCGGGGGCCACCTGCCGTGGGGAACACCACCGGGCGAGGAACGCCCGGGTGGCCGCGTCAGGGCACCTCCGGCCCCGCCCCTTCGCCTGGGGACCCCGTTAAGGGAATCCCCGCCGCAGGGAAGCCGTCTCTGGCGTCCCTTCCCTCCCGGGCCTCCAGGAACGCCCGGGAGCCCCCGCACCCCTCGCCGTCCGCAGCTCAGGAAACCCGCTTTCGGGAACTCCCCTGCGTCCCCGCGCTCACGCCCGCACCCCGATCACCTCCCGCGCTGCGCTCCCTCCTTCCTGGCCGCCGGCGCGCCGGTTGTTCTAAGGATAAGGCCTCCAATAAAGTTATTGAAATTGAGGCTGCGCCCCGGTAGCGACCCAGGTTTCCTCCTAAAATGGATACAAGGCCGGCGGTGCGCGCCACGTTCCCTGCGGCCGCGCTGCGCTGCTCCCCGGCCCACCGGCCTCTCTAGCCGCCACCGCCTCGATGGTGCACAGTCGCGCGCGGCCTCCTGGGCGCCGCTGGGGCTGGACCGGGCCACCCGCCTTTGGGACTGCAGCGGGGAACGGGTCGCTGAGCCCTCCGGCCTGCCGTGCGGAGGACACGGCCCCCGAATGACACTAGGGCCGCCACCCTGTCGCCGTATCCGGAGGAACGATGCTTTCTTCCCAGCCCCCTCACCTGGCCCGATTTGCCAAAACCGTTTCTTTGTCATAGGCGACCGGAGAGGTGGGTTCCCAGAAGGAATGAGAAATCGGACTTCCCACGGATCGCTCAGGAACCAGCCTGGAGAGCAGAGTCCCTGAGGTCGAGTGGTGGGAATGAAGACAAAGACACGGGTATGGGATGGGGAAGACTGTCCTCAGCAGGATCAGCCTCAATATGCTTTATTATATGTCTTTTCTACCTTACAGCAAAAGCTTAGTCATATAAGCAAAGGGAAACTTTTTGATATAATGCCCAGGGCTACAACAATGCTATATAGAGTTTGTTTGCCCTGCAGTTAACAGGAACACCCTGTCTGTTCCTCAGACATCGCAAGTATTTCATGGTACATTGGGTCACACTGAGCCCCAAGCTGTACAAACACAATCCAAGCCTACTTCCTTGAGATTGAGGGAGAGGTCCAGTCTCTGACTCTAGCCCTCCAGGCTCGGTGGACTTTGTCAGACCCGTAGCTGGCTCCACACTGAAGGTATGCCATATGGAACAGTCAGCGGGACTGGGGGCCCAAGGAAGGAGTGATTAGGAGAAAACCTTAACAAATTATTAAAATTTCAGTCTGGAGAGTAGGAGAAAGCTTTTCCAAGCTAAGAAACAGTGTATGCAATGAGCAACCCTAGAAGGAATGAAATGGAAGAAAGAGCAACAACAAAAGCAACAGAAGGACTACTGAGCAGAAAAGGGCCAAGACAGACCTGGGTTTGGGACAAATATGTCCTGGCTTTTTACTGATAATGAATAATGTTTGTGGAGAACAGGGTCTACATGCTAACCTGACAAGCTCCGGGAAGGCCTGAATGGTGGCCTTGCAAACTCAAAGACCTAAAGTAACACAAAGGATGGTGTGGAATTGAACCTTTTTAAACTAAAAGCAGTTTGTGGCTGGTGGTCATGTTGTGGGCTGGCATCTTCCCTGACAAAGGTCAATCTTTACCTTAGCTGAGCCTGTCTGTTGTGTTTTTGCATCTATCATAACCTATCTTTGGAATGTCAAAGAAATTTTTCTTTTTCTGGATCACTCAAAGCACAGGGACCACTGTGAGGAGACAAAAATCCCCTCATTGTTATTGAGTTAATGATTGACTGTTAACTATACTGTACCCACATATGTACAAGATGTATGTGTCTATCATTTTACTTTTCACCCAATCCCAGAAGTCCCGCCCCCTCTTTGCTTTCTCCCACTTCCCTAATCTAGTACCAATGTGTTAGGACTCACACAGACAATATAATTCCTAATAGCCATTTTGCAAGCCTCTCCACCACAGGAGAATTAGCCGGACAAGAAATGCAACTGGACACCAGGAACAAAAGAAGCACCCAATTGCACATCACATTCCTCAAGACCCAACCTCCTGCCCAAACCCACCAACCAAGACACCAAAACCCACTAACTGACAAAAGCTTCCTGCCAGTAGATGCATATCAAGATGAAACTCCAGCTCCTAGGGGCTGCCATCATAGACCCAATACTCTATGGCTCAGTGATATGAAGCCCTTCCCTTTGGATATACCCATTTCCCAGCCCCTTTTCTTCAAATAAACCCAATTTTTCTTTATTCACCATCTGAGATTACTATTTAGCATGCCCGCCTCATGGAACCACTGACTTTCACCTTTCACAATGTTGACAGTTTGGGCTCAAATAAACTCACAAAAATTCTTCACAGGTTTGAATGTTTCTTTAATTGACATATTTAACAATTCATATTTTGTATTTTAATTATATGGGTATCTCCTTCCCTACTAGCAACCCTTGTTGCTCAACATGTGTTATACAGACCAGCAGCACTGGTTCACCTGGGGGCTTGTTCCAAATGTTACGGGACAATGAAAAGCTAAAAAAATTCTGGGGCAAGTGGAATAGGGAAACCGAGAAAGGAAAATTAAACAATAGAGAATGCAGGAGAGAAGAGAGAAGGAAAGGTGGAGAGGAAGAGGAGAAATTCTAATTCAACTTCTTACTAACCAGAGACTACTTAATGGAAATCATCCTGGTGCTATTAAAACAGCAGGGGCGGGGGGTGAGGAGGTTGGGGGGGGGGTGGAGGAGTGCAGTTTTACCTCATCCCACTGTTTAAACAGAAAAGCCAGCAGTCTCAGGATTTAATTGCCAGGTGCTTCTCCTAAATTCTGGAAAAGCCATTACAAAGAAAAAGAGTTAGACTTCATAGTTAATCTGTACCGGGATATCTAGCAGAGGAATTTTTAAAAAGAATTTATAGAGCCATGGCCGGTTTGGCTTAGCGGTTAGAGTGTCGGCCTGCTGTCCCGAGAGACCCCGGTTCAGTTCCTGCTAGGGGCATGTACCTTGGTTGCAGTTTGTCCCTGGCCCTGGTTGGTCGTGCGGGTGGCAGCCACTCGATGTGTCCCTTTCACGTCGATGTTTCTCTCTCTCCCTCCCACTCTATCTGAACAAAAAATGGAAAAATGTCCTCCAGTTAGGATTAAAAAAAAACTCACCCAAGGATATTTTTCCATTAATTTTTTTTTTTTTTTTTCAGATAGAGTGGGAGGGAGGGAGAGAGAAAGAGAGAAACATCGATGTGAGAGAGACACATCAACTGGTTGCCTCTTGCAAGATCCTAACAGGGGCTGGGGATCGAACCTACAACCCAGGTACATGCCCCTGATTGGGAATCAAATCTGTGACCCTTTGGTTCACAGACGGATGCTCTAACAGCTGAGCCAAACCTGGCAGGGCAAAAAGTTCATTTGCATACTAAGTTGAAAACCTACCCACTAAAGCCCAACAAATTCACTGTTCCCCCTTTTATCTGTGCTCTGCTCCTAATAAACTCAATTGTTTTCTGGCTCTTAACCAAAGACAGTTTGCATTAAAAAAGGCACATTTTAATAGCAACCTTTTGCTTACCCCTCGTTACCCCCCACCCCGCCTTCCTTTCATCCTTTCCATAGGACTCTGAAGCAAGGTCCTTGAAAGAATAACACACTAAAGCTTAGCTTGTGTACTATTCAGAACTCCAGGGTGGGTTTCTCATGCCAAATGATATGTCTCTGGTATTTTCCTTACAGTGGTCAAATCAACATAGGAGAAGCAAATCAAGTATGCTAGCCAATGCAAAACTTATTAAGAAGATAAACTTTTTTGTAAAGCTAAATAGAAATTATTTTGGATTATCTGATTTGGGGGTATTAAACAGAAACTTTCATGGCCAAAAGCTTTTCTGAAAGAAAGGGTTTATTGAGTCCAATGCTAGCCAGTAAAGGACCAGGTCCTGGGGCATGCCATCTGAACCACCAGCAGTAGGGCTAGGTGGAAAGCACAGACATGTTCATGCTACTGGAGTTGATGGGGTCCTTTATACCTCAAGTTTGGGGAAGAAAGATATAAGTTTTTTGAAAAAATTTACACTGTTATAGATAAAGGGGGTGGGAAAAGGTGAAGGGGGTAGTTCTGGGATAGGTGTATAGTCTGTAGGGAAGAAGTGTTTGCTTTTTAGAACCGGTTGTGGGCAACAGTCCAGAAAAATGATGCGTAGCAACATGTGAAGATGCAGGTGGTCAGTTGTACCTGGTGTTTGACTACTGGCTATTCTTTTTTTTTAATCCTCACCCAAGGACATTTTTCCATATTTTGTTCAGATAGAGTGGGAGGAAGAGAGAGAGAAAGAGAAACATCGACGTGAAAGGGACACATCGAGTGGTTGCCACCCGCACGACCCAACCAGGGCCGGGGACAAACTGCAACTGAGGTACGCGTCCTTAGTGGGAACCGAACCTGGGTCTCTCTGGACCTCAGGCCGACGCTCCAACCGCTGAGCCAAACCGGCCAGGGCTACTGGCTATACTTTTTAGATAATTGTGGAAAAAGTCACCTAGAAGTTAATTCAAAGTTCCAATATTCATTCAGGAATGTGGCAGTTTTTAATGGTTTTACCCTGTAGTTGTTGACTGATTATCTTTTCTTGTCTCTTCCTTCCAACCGCCAGCCTGGTTAATTTAATTTAGGACAGCTCATATTTTTTTCTTGTTATAGGATTATCCATGACACTATTCAACTCTAATGGCATTTATAAGATAGTCCACAATTAATAATGAAAGTAAACTCTGCATATTGTGTGTTTAGAAATAAGACAAAAATAATTTGACCCTGTAGGGAAGATTAATTGCTGCTCTGTAGTCCCAAATTGTTTTTTCCTTAAACACAGGAACTACTATGTAAAGAAACAACATCTCTTAACCAATACCAGTATAATAGTTTTCTTTGCTGTGCAGAAGTCTTTTACTTTGATGTAGTCTCACTTGTTTATTTTTGCGTTTGTTGCCTTTGTTTTTAGTGTCGAATCTAAAAAAATCATCACCAAGATCAGTGTCAAGGGGTTTATCCCCTATGTTTTCTTCCAGGAGTTTTATTGTTTCAGATCTTACGTTCAAATCTTTAATCCATTTTGAGTTAGTTTTTGTGAGTGGTATAAGATAGGGGTCCAGTTTCATTATTTTGCAGATAGATATTCAGTTTTTCCAGCACC